CCTAGTCCCACCCCTGGGATTCTCAGCCCACTCTTCTTGTTTGTGTGAAAGATTATCACATCCACAGTTCTGAAAAAATCCCAATTCACTAGGAGTCCCTGAATTGGACCACAAAAATATGGATAATCACTTGTCACTGTCAGCCATTCTGTGGTGTCTGACCTTTAGCCACTCTATGAATCAGCACTCTCCATGCCCCTCTGTCTCACACTGTCTAAATCAGGGTGTTTCACCTTTTTCACAGATTGTACCACTTTTAGCACATGACAATAGTCGAGTACCACCAGTGCTTAGCAAGGTGTCAAAAACTTGATGATTGAAAAAAAGGGGGGGGGGAGGATTTTACTGATTAGATTCATTTGTTGCTATAGAAATGGCTAGTTTATACTATTATGGAAAAGTATAAAGTTGAGATTCGATGTTTAATGCTTCATTCTACTGCAACAGAGGAAGTTGGAAGTCAATGCCTTTTCTTTTTCCCTTCTCCCCCTCACTTCTTCCCCCTTCTTCCTCCCCACTGTATCGTACTATTTGCTTTTGTGTTTTTGTATTTTAATCTATAACAGGGGTGTCAAACTACCAGCCCGCGGGCCAAATGCGTCACGAGGAAACCGCGCCCACCCCATTGCCAGCAATGGGGAAAAAGCTCCGATACGTCGCGTGATGTCACGTGACGTTGCGAGTTTGACATGTCTGATCTATAATATAATAAAATGTTACAAACCATTAAAAAAAGAGAAAAAAGTATCGGTTTTAATTTCTTTGGAGGGGTTTCTTTGCTGAATCACTTTCCCTTTGCACTGACAAATGTATGATGAATTTATCCATATTTATTAATATGCACCACTACTTTGGTGGTCAGATGGCTGGTCGGCCCTTCTTCCTCTCCTCTCTCTTTTTCCTCCCTGCCTGATGGGCTCTCCTTCCACAGTTTCTTCTCCTCTGTCTCTTCTTCCTCCCTCTTCGGTGTACCTCCAGCTATGTGCTGCTTACAGAAGCACCAATCAACTGGAGCCCGGCACTGATTGTGGGGCAGCCCTGCAGAAGCACTGATCAGCTTGTAGCCACATGCGCTGATCCTGGGGCTTCTGCTGAGCCCCAACACCCCTGCAGCTCCAGCTGACTCTCCCTCAGGTTTGTGTGGTGCTGCTGCTGCTTCAGCTCATTTCCCTCCCCTGCTACACTTGTCTAAGATGGTCACGTGCCACCTGCCAAGTGCCAAAGTACAACCAGTTGAAAAGCCCTAGTCTAGATCAGAGGTGAGGAACTACAGTTCCTTTATGACTTGTGGACTTCAACTCTCAGAATTCCTGAGCCAGCCATGTTATGATTGGCCAGCTTAAAAATAATGACCAAATGACTAACACAAGTAAACTAGTTTACAAGAGAAGCTTTGGATTATAGAGTTGTGAATATAGTCTGTAAAAGATATGTTAGTGGTCAGGGCTCCTCTGGACCCATTGAAGAAATCGTGTATTAAAGCTTTTTCTTGAGATGCATGTTGCTTTAAAACGCATTGTTCTTTCCATAAGCCCTAGAGTAAGCTTTATTATTATATCTACAAAACATAGAGGAGAAGGTGGATTAAAGTCACTTTAGTCACATTAACTTCAGTTTTGACTAATTAAGCTTGAATCCAAGTATTTTCAGCTTCAATTGGTTATAAAGTGAGTTGTGTTATTCTACCCAGCCACTCAGGAAGCATTTATACAAACACAAATGCAGAGAAACATATACATACCCATCAAAAATCCATGAAATGAACGCTTATCCAATTCTTTCCCTTGGAATTTAGTAAGCTAATGATTTGACAGAGAAACAAATGTGTGCTTCTTCAGTTTTCTTCATCTGATACCTAGCAGGTGTTTAGAAATTAAAACAAAGGGCAGTTTGTACAAGTACTTGAGGAAACTGGATGCATTTTGATTAGCTTTTAATTTTTAATTGCTAGCTGTGGTAAGGCAAGGATTAACTGAAGGAAACAAAGAAGATCTAATAAAGAAAGCCATATAAAATACAAGTGAATCATCTCATGAAATGTAGCTCTGTCACTAGAAATAACAAATCCTAAAATCAGCAGTGCATATATATTCTCTTACAGGAAAGCCTCACCATAGGCAGTCGAGCTACTAAAAATTTATATTTATATTGAAATAATCTCTGAAAGAATGTATAACTGCTGCAGTTCTAGGGTAAAGAAAATAAAATATCCCTTGGATAAAAGGCTGTCAATGTGTGTGTGTGTGTGTGTGTGTGTGTAATAATATTAAAGATAAAAGTGTGATTCCTGGGTAAATTCATCTTCTAAGTAACCAGTAAAAACGTGAACACCAGGAATATTATAAACTAAAAAAGTTTAATACCATCACCAATCACCAAGCTTTCGTCAGAGACTTCTGACATCATCAGGGTTCATGCTGGTCTATGGGAGAGCTCCTTTATAGGTAAACCGCCATTTGCACCCGGCTTCTGGACCTCATCACAGGTCCTAATTGGTTTGACTGCGTTCTAATTATGGCTTTCGCATCGATGACTCCTCTTTTCTTGCTTCCCCTGCCTATGTGTATGCTACTGCTTACTTCCGCCTCACACGATCCTGGGTTGGGGAAGTTCTCTCCCCCCCTTTTTTGGTTGGCCAAGTCCTCGGTATCTCTGAGCTGTTCCCTCCTCTCACGCTCCCTCTGCCCTCGCCCCAGGTGTCCTGTTGCGATGCATTCTCTGTCCCCTTTTTCTTTCCTCTGCTCCTTACTCACTTTCCAGTTGTCATCCCTTGTCCTGTGGAGCTGCATCCTCAGCCTTTCCCCCCGTCCCGTGCTTCCCACTCCCCCTCCTTTGCCTGCGCAGTCCGTTTCTGTAGTTGCTATATCGCCTGGCATCTGCCTCCTCCCTCCCCCCATTTTTGGTGCTCTCGATCTCTGCTCCAAATCGAGCTGAGCCCTAAATTGTTTAAAGACAGATAGAAAATGACAATCCAGTTGTCTAAAAGAGATTCATTGGAATGGCCTCCAAACTGTAATCCAAACATATATTTGACTTTCTCTAGATCAGGGATTTCCAATGTTTACATTTAGACTTATCTACATTGCCCAAGTGCCCTGTTACCAAAAGGAGAAGCAACAATATTTAAAAAGCAGAAATGGATGTCACTCTGTATTTGTCAGCCCTTGGAGTTACACCAGATCAAGAAATAGATCCCATAGGGATTCCAAGAATGCTAATTTCTTGTTGTAGGATATAGCAATAGGATCTTTAAAAGCCTGTTGAAAACCTTCATTTCCCTTCTTAAGGGCAACAGAGTCAAGATGGAGCTGTTCTGCCATCCCCACTAGGCAGACCAGACCAAGGAATTCTACAAGAAAACTAAAATTAATTTTATTGAGATTAACTATAAGAACAGAATCTTGAAAATCTTGTGTTGTACCTTCTCCCCTTCTTATAGTTCAGTGAATTAGGGAGTTGCCTTGGCAAAAAAAGTTTGCCAAAGATCTCCATCAAGGTCATTTTCTCTATCTTTTATGGTTCTGTATCTCTTTCTTGTATTTTTCTTGTTTCCCAGAGTTGAGTGACTTTATCATTTCTTCCATTTCCTTCGCAAGTCCAGAGCTACATTTTTCTACAATTGTAACATTGTTCACATTACAAATTTGACTTACAGGAATACTTTTGTGCTGTAGTTTTAAAGTGGTGGTCCCCAACCTTTTGGGTTCCATGTAGAGAGAGTTTTCTGTAGTCATAAGTCAAGGAATACCTGTACATTGTTTTTAAACTAAGAACTTTATAAGGCAAACCAATAAACGTTGTGCTGTTAGATATATGGTAAAGGTAGCCTTGGAAAGTATTTTGTTTTAAAGCTGTTAGTTTATTTATTTATTTAATTTTATTTATATGCCGCCCAATCCCAAAGGACTCAGGGCGGCGTACAAAATTAAAACAATCATCTAACAATAAAACAATAAAATAATACAATCATACCGCAAGTCCGATCATATCCTGCCCCCCCCCCCGGGGACATCAGCCCCAGGCCTGCCAGAACAGGAGAGTTTTAACGGCTTTCTTAAAAGCCGGCAGGGTGGGAGTTGTTCGAACCTCGGGGGGAAGTTGATTCCACCAGGTCGGAGCCACCACAGAAAAGGCCCTTCCCTGAGAGTCCGCCAGCCGACATTGTCTGGCCGATGGGACCTGAAGGAGGCCCAATCTATGGGACCTCACCGGTCTCTGGGAACTGTGCGGCAGTATGCGGTCCTGTAAGTAACCTGGCCCTATGCCATGAAGAGCTTTAAAGGTGATAACCAACACCTTGAATTGCGTCCGGAGACCCACAGGAAGCCAGTGCAGCTCATGGAGGATAGGTGACACGTGGGCGTACCTTGGCGCACCCACAATCGCTCTCGCGGCTGCATCCTGAACCAACTGCAGCCTCCGAACGCTCTTCAAGGGTAGCCCCATGTAGAGCGCATTACAGTAATCCAGTCTTGAGGTGACTAGGGCATGAGTGATTGTGAGTAAAGTTAGTTGTGTTTTAACTTGGCATATATACAGAAACTCCATACATATTTTCATCTACCTTTCCTCTGAAAGGAACTTAGGGCAGGAGCTAGCATTCTCCTATATTATCTCCATACCTAATATAGAGTTTAGGTTACGTGAGAAATAAGACTGTCCTAATCTCACCCAGTGAATTTTGTGACTGACTTTAGTCTCTTTTAGGCAACTGGATTGTCATTTTGTACCTGCCTTTAAACAATTTAGGGCTCTGTTGAATAGGTCTCCCTCAGTCAAGTCAAACCTACTTTAGATAAAACCTGTATAGTTTTATCAACTATATCCCCTGCCTCTTTCTGCCAAATTTCCTAATACTTCCCCCCACCACCACCTTGGATTAAAAAAAAAATGCAGTATTTCTGGAACATATTAGCTTTCACTCTTATCAGCTTTTGCTAAGTATTTACAGATAAAGGCAGTTTCTAAGGACTTGCAATTCATCATCAGCCTATACTTAAATTCCCTTCAGTTCTCTATCTGTAAACGGGGCTGTGTTATTTGAAGGAGCTGCTTTCCTGCCTCCAAGCTTTCTCTTCCCCTGTAGCAGGGTTTCCTTTACAGTTTTCGCACCGTGAAAGTTGAGGTACATTTATAATTCTCTCCTCCTGTGACTAGAACTCTATTGTATTTTGTACCTTGCTCCAGGTAATACTTAGAAACACCACTGGCATTGCTATTACACGGTCTATAGGCTTGTTTATCTGTTAATTGATTCTCCTGGGGAGGGAAGCTGACATCGCCATTCTAATATGGCTTAATATGATCAAGACAACAAAGCTTTTGAAACTGTCAGCAGTACTTGGAAGTATTCTCTTAAACATTACTAGCAATTAGTTTTCTTTTCCTTTCAGTTAAAAGCTATTTTAGGATGCTACCCATCTTTGTGTAGAACAGGGGTTTCAAACTGCTGGCCAGTGGGCTGGATGTGTCATGCTGAAACTGCAGCTCCGGCAATGGGGAAAAAAATAGCGATACATCATGACACGTCACGTGATATGGCGAATTTGACACCTCTGATGTAGAATATCGGTGAGCTGGTGGAAACAGCAGTGAATTTGCTACCAACATAGCTTAATATGGTCAGAGCCACAGATGAGGATCATTGGGCACTTGTCAACTTTCTGGTATAATGACTTCCCTCATGGCTATGGTGTCTCAATCTTCTCTTCCTCTTCCTCCCCATCCAGTTTCTATAGGCTGGGTCCAGAAGAAAGGTAAGAGCAGGCTTGATCGTGGGTCTACTTTCTTGTTAAAGGGTCTCCCCAAAATTGAAGTTGTTACTATTGCATAAGAAGACTGTTGAGTCCTCAGCGAAAGGCAATAATTTCAGGAGTCATTTGGTAGTTCTCAGGAGCCTCTTTATTGATGACTAGCAGCTCTGTTACAATGCCGAGGCACACAAGTTTCTCTCCTCCTCTTAAAGACAATCCCCGGGCCAAACGGCAACATTTGGCGCGCTTTGCACTTCATGCATGTGCGCGAGTGCTGGCGCCAGCCAGTCTGGTCCCGGGCAGTTTGCAACTGCCCGGGACTGTTGCAATGTCCCGAGCCTGCCTCTGCAGGCTCAGGACACAACAAAGACCATAAAGGTGAGAGGCAGGTCTACACTTGAGCATAATCACAAGCTTCTGTTCCTCCCAAGGACCAACCTTGATTTGCAGAATTTCTGCCTGGGTTGTCCCAAAGAAAAGTTTGAAAAAGGAAAAGAAAGCAATGCCTTTCCTCCCACAGTGGGAAAACTCCCAAAATGGAATTGGCATCTTTCAGTGGTGATTAAAGCTCTAAAATATTAATGCCATTAAAAATTTAATATCGCCCTTTGTGCCCTTCTCTGGTAGTTTGCAAGCCTGCTCAAGTAGTGGAGTAATTTAGATGCAGACCTGGAAGCAGCACTTATGCATGTTCTTAACTCTATGCATATGTATAGATTATTTGCTTAATGGAACTCCTCTTGTGTGTAATAATGAGTGTAGTGTCTGCAGGGTTTTATCCTATTGCTTTGCCAGGATTCCTGAAACAAAACAAAAACAAAACAAAACAAAAAACAAAAAAAAAAAACAAACAACAGCCCTAAAAGCACCACTGTCTATTGAACAGTGAAGGCAAATGAGTCTCCCAAATATGCATTGCCACTGGTAAATTGAGAGAGAGAAAAAAAATAAATCCACTGACGATCCAGCAATGGAAGAACACACTTTGGGTCTGACGTACATTGTGATTGTGAACGGAAGCTGCTTGTGCCCCTTGGGTTGGTATTTTGCATGGATGCCTTTGTTTAATGCATGTCCCTTTTTGGGATTAGAGAGAGCAGGCAGTTGGCTAAAAGCAGAGCCTTTTCGTTAGCAGGGAAAATGGATGCACCCATTTTATACAGGAAGAATGAAGAGCTGCCCGCGGAGTGCAGGGACTAAGGTTTGGGAATATTGTTTTCTTGCCTTCCTTGATACATTTTAGTGAAGTGGGCGAGCCCCTTAAAATTCACTCCACCGAGGAGAGTTTTATTAAGCAGAGCCCATTTAAACCAAAATAGTAGTACAGTCCATTAATTCATAGCCTTTGGATGGAGTCCTATACACACATGTACAAAATCCTATGAGTACTGTGGGTCTTCCCTCCAAGTAGATATTTGAAGATTTTTTTTGGTTTTTAAGCACATTTTTTTTCTTTTTTAATAGGGAAATATCCCTTGGATAAAAGGCTGACTAGGGAATTCTAAACTGCCCTGGGAGTAACTGCTAATTAATTCCATGGACTTGTTTCTGACAAGGTTTGAATATTTTCCATTGTTAGGACAAATCATTTGAAACCTATCAAATCAGGCTGTTCTAATTTTATTTGCTTTTTAATAGTTATCAACGGGCAACCTGTAACATGGATGATTTGCACCAGAGATGAGGAATGATGGACCTTTTATGACTTGTGGACTTCAACTCCCAGAATTCCTGAGCCAGCCAGAATTCTGGGAGTTGAAGCCAACAAGTCATAAAGGGGCCATCCTTCCCCATCCCTGATCTACACCCTTCTGCATTTTGTAAAACAAAAAGTGTCCAGAAATCTATTCTTATCCAAGATAGAAGCTACCCGCTGCAAATAGTAATTTACAATGGAGTCTTCAGCAAATAAATAAATAAATAAATAAATAAATATTTATTGTTCAAGGAGTTATGAATGCACAATGGATGTACATAAAAAAAGAATGGGGTTTCAATCACACAGTTTTTTATGTACATTCTTTTTTTAATGTACAGTTGAGATTGTTATCTTGTTTTTTTGAACCTCTTGTAATTCCTTCCTTCCTTCCTTCCTTCCTTCCTTCCTTCCTTCCTTCCTTCCTTCCTTCCTTCCTTCCAATACAGTGTAAATGAGATCCTACACTTAACGCCACGTCTCCTTTCCTTTTCTGCAGATATCTACAGCAAGATGTGGCACTCTGGCAAGTCTGCAGGGAGTGCCATGTTACCTATGCTTGGCTTAAGGAATCAGGGGAGCCAGGGTTATGATATGCTTCCCAATGATACAAGCACCCTAGAGTAGGCAAGTGTTGTTACTGAGGAATGCAAGCTGTGCAGCACCACCAGTTGTTCGTTCCTGCCCTTTACAGCCACCACCAACAATTTATGAGGCCCCTCAGATGTAAGGGAAAAAAAATGCAATGTATTAAAATGCCATGACTTTGTACTTTTGCATAATGCCATAAATCTTCCTTTATAATGTACTTAATGCAAATAATATTACAAAATAATGTGCATTATGCACATTTCTTAGGCTGTAAACGACTCAGGACACAAAATTAGCCCATTCAATTATAGAGAAGCTTTCAAACAAGAAGCTAATATGGGGCGCCTATTCCTTCCCCACTGCTTTGAACAGCACGTGTTTCAGAGTGTTATTAATTCAGCCACGCTGCGAACTGTGTAAGTCTCTTTCCTTTTTAGATTTCACACACGGAACACATTTCCCCACATTTACTGTCCATATTTTCATGGTAACTACCCTGTTTCCTGTGTTTTCTTTGACTGGAGCCGACCACACTAAATGTGTGGCAGACAAATGCAGAGCAGGTACATCACAGCTAAAAGCAAGCAGACGGTAGTCTTTCATATGTCATAGAATGGTTGCCGTTCCTGGTGTTATTCATAAAGGAAAGTGGCCCCTTCTTTGGAGACAGTACTGGTTGACTGCAGTCCGAAACCTGTAAGGACATTTTTTTCCTGCGTGGAACAACAGGCGAAATCATGGAACAACTGAACCATATAATCAGATTTAGTGCCTTTGCAATAACCAGTCAAAATTCCATTATTATGTGTGGATTAAGTTTAGCGTCCAGAGATACAAACCAAGCAAGAATAGTCTCATTATGGGTGGAGTGAGTGTCTGCTACTTAGATCCACTCCCTGGTATATCAGCATTTTCAGTAGTCTTGTAACAAAAATCAAGAACATAAATAATGAAATACCAACTCAATAAACTTGGTAACCTCTCTGCAGTTTGTTCTTCTACCCTCTCATCCAATGAGAACCAGCCAACTGGATAAAGTCCATAAGATAGAACATTCACATCAATATGTCTCACGATCAGTATGTCAATACACTTTCAAGTGTGTCCATTTATTTTGTTTCACAGTATGAGTTTTAATATTTGCCTGGAACTCTCAACTTTTATTTTTTGGGGAAAAATGGAGAAAGCACCTATGCCTATTGGCAAGACAAGATCTTTGATTATAATTCATTCCCCTAGTCATGGTGTTTGCACATTATCTTTGAATTGTCTGAGTTTTCTTTCTTTCTTTCTTTCTTTCTTTCTTTCTTTCTTTCTTTCTTTCTTTCTTTCTTTCTTTCTTTCTTTCTTTTTTAGTACAGTGTACTTGTTACTGTAAAGCAAAAGCAAACCCAGCCCATCTCAAATCAGCATCGATCATAAAATCTTTGGAACCAACCATGTGGATGGGAACGTAAAGATGCATGCTTACCTATATCTCCTCTGTCTTTGTGTATATAGGCAAATGCTTCTGGAGAACAATAATTATTTTGAATAATTATTTCCAATGAAAACACATGCTAGGATTTTCGATGATGGATTCCCACATACGTACACTCAGACTGGGTGTTTTAACAGTTTATCAACAACAGTGGTACTGGAAAAAAAATCCCCAAGAGATTAAAAAAGAAGAAGATGCACATTATGCTAGGTTATACTGGATAAATATTTACAGAATGTTCCATGTTAAAAAAATAAGGGTATTTATTAATGCAGTGGAGAAGTGTGGTATTGTGTTGTCAGTAAACTGAAACGAGAAATACATTTTCCCCAGTTTATCTTCCAGTTATGGTGCATATACTTGTTGTTTCTTCCACAGAATGTGTGCAAATATTTTATCGTTCACACTGTAAAAAATGAATCTTAGATTTTTCTTAATGAATATCACGAAGCAATGATTATACTGTAAATAAACAAGCTATTCTCAGATGTTAAATTCAGGCCTTTTATTAGCTGAAAAGAATTCTGGCTGCCCTGAATTAGGTTTTATGGTTGTCTGCTCCATACCCTTCTGAGTGAGAAGGTAATTACAGGGAAATAACTTACCAAGATTGGACTTCTCTTAGTGGAGAAATCACTGGAGACTTTCTTTGTGTTTGAAATATGTAATTGGTATAAAGATTTGGAAGAAGCGAGGAAACTGACACAAAGAGCTCAAGCATTCATTAGCAGGGATGAAGACATCTATATTATGCAAAATTAGATGTCCCCAGAGAGAAGCTAAACTGCTAAGCTAGAGGTTTGCCTTTTCCAATCTGTTAAACTTTAAGCACTTCTACCCCTCATCTACAGGGCGTACTAAAAGAATGGAAGAAATTGCTCTCGTCCAGCCCCAACATGGGCACACACTGATACTTTCAATAAATTACACTAAGGGCCAGCTCTAGACGTTGTGGCACTCCAAGCCAGTATACCCCAACCTTTTTGGCACCAGGGACTGATTTTGTGGAAGACAATTTTTCTAAGGACGGGGGTTAATAGTGGGGGTGGTTTTGCATGAAACCTAGATCCAGTGCATGCACAGATGAAGCTTCTCTCACTCGCCCTCTGCTTGTGCTGCCCAGTTCCTAACAGACTGGTATCAAGCCACAGCCCCGGAATTGGGGATCCCTTTTCTGATGACCTCTAGGCAAAAAGGTACCCTCTTTTTTTTGAGTTTTTTTAGGTTGGCACTTAGGATTTTCAGCCTTGGACAATTTTTCTTTTTTCTTAGTATCTTTATCCTATTTGCTTTGAATCACAGCACATAATTTTAATTATACCAGAATTGTTTGTTACCATACAGCAACACTTCTGCAAAATTGTATCTAATCCTCCAGTGGGTGTGCTATTGCACAGAAGGCATTGTTTCCACTTTTTCCCCACAATAATTTCTTTTTTGACTTGAAGTGTCTGGTTAGCGTGGTCGACCGATTAAATACCACTTGATCAACTTTGTGGGTAACTTCGAAAAGCGTGAAAAGTTCTAAAGCAACAAGGGAATGCTACTTGATTTTATACTCGTATATTTTGGAAAACATTTCAGTTTCAGTGTCCCCTAAAATCTGGCATCTTAGGAAACTTGCCTGAGTTGCTTAGGCCTAGAACTGGCCCTGGCTGTACTGGAGATTACCGTGCAGGTATATCATAAGAGGGCTGTTGCTTCTTGGTGTGATCCATCTTTTTACACCTCCTTCTTTTTCTAGTTCTGCAGCATGACTCATTTATACAATCACTTGAAAGAGGATGATAGAGCCACAGACTTCCATTAACTGGACATCTGCACAAATAACTGATAGTTTGCTGCTTCTTTGAATTGGCCTTCCTTTACCTGTATTGCTAAACTAAATTCAGATAAGTTTTTTTTTTAAAAAAAATTACCGATAATGAAAGCATATTTGTGGAAGTTTTCACATCTGTGAAAGTGAAAGAACAAAGGAAATTGCTGATCATGATGTTGCTTTTGGTCTCAGGAGATATGTATCAACTTCTTTATTACTTTATTACTAATATGCTTATACAATACTATCAATAAGGCTAGTCTCAATTTCTGGGGAATCAATAGATTAAGACTTTGTTTACCCCCCTGAACACAGCTGCCATAGAGAAGCAACCATTGTTCTGAATAATACAGAGTTAATTAAATACTCTTACGCTTTCCACTTTCTTGGCACTTACAACATTAAAAACGTCTCAAGTATTATTATATCAAGCAGATACATACAAGCATGAAGTGAATGAATTACAAGAAAGGATAATTGAGTCAGGTGCCTGAAGGTAAGATGACATACAGTTAGTCCTCGACTTACGACCACAATTGAGCTAAACTTTTCTGTTGCTAAGCAAGGCAGTTGTGAGTTTTGCCCCATTTTACAACATTTCTTGCTACAGTTTTTAAGTGAATCACTGCAGTTAAGTTAGTAACATGGTTGTTAAGTGAATCTGGCTTCCCCATTAATTTTGCTTGTCAGGGGGTCACAAAAGGTGATCATATGACCCCAGGGCACTGCAGCTTGCCAGTTGCCAAGCATCTGAGTTTTGATCATGTCACTGTGGGGATGCTACAAAGTGTGAAAAATGATCATTAGTCACCTTTTTCACTGCTGTTGTAACTTCAAACGATCACTAAATTAATGGGTTTAAGTTGAGCAGCACCTGCATGTAGGAATGGATTGTGTGGGAAAGTAGATGGTAAGAATAACAGGTGTCCAAAGAGAATAATGGTAATTGTGTACAGAGACAAAAGCATTTCTGTAGTCTGGAAATCATGTTGTAAGTGGGCTGCTTATGGATTTCATTTGGTCCTTCTGTTGAACTAAACCAACCTGATATTCACTTCTCAGTCTGCCATGCAAATTAGTCTGGTGCATATTTATTTTTTCATTTTTTTTCTTCTATAAATTAATATCCTGTGACTATCACTGAGTGTTGTATCTTATGATTTATGATGAATGTATTTTGTGATGATTATGATCATGATTTATCACTTGTTGCTTGTATGTACACTGAAAGCTTATGCACCAGAGACAAATTCCTTGTGTGTCTAATCACCCTTGGCCAATAAAGAATTCTACTTCTAATTCTAAAGATATTACCTAGACATGGACAGAGTTGATAAAAGACATCCATAGTATACCGAGTTGTTTTCATGATATAAAAATGAAGACTTTTGAGTTTAGTGCCCACATTTCCACAATTATTTATATACATTAAAACAACAAAACATTCCTGTAAATAATATAGGTAAATATTTAATTTCTAACTTCCCTTTATACACCAAACAATTTACAGTACCAGTTGGTATAGACTACAGAATCCAGACTCAAAGTGCTTATTGTTTTAGACCAGTGGTTCTCAACCTGTGGGTCGGGACCCCATTTGGGGTCGAACGACCATTTCACGGGGGTCGCCAAACAAGGCTGTCCGCCATTTTTCCCCTTTTTATTTAGCCATGCCCCTGGCACCCGGTGATGTATAAGTGGTTGGGGGTCACCACAACATGGGGAACTGTATTATGGGGTTGTGGCATTAGAAAGGTTGAGAACCACTGTTTTAGACCTTATATTTATATCTTGCTCCATAATCTATATACTATTAAAACTCTTGTTACCTTTTGATTCTTTGTAATATTCAACTGGATGAAACGATGCACCATCAGACAACAATTTTTAACCTGTTGTACTCAATGGTGGGATTCAAATATGTGAACAATTGGTTCTCTGTGTGGATGTCACTTCTGGAAGCCCATTCTGGGCCTAGGCAACAAAAAATAACTACTGGTTCTGCCAAACTCGTGTGAACTGGCTGAATCCCACCACTGGTTGTACCTCAAAAGGACTAACTTAAAACATCAGGAACCCTGTCTCCCATGGGATTGAAATTTGGCAAAATTGTAGCTACTTCAGTCCCACCACGCCTTCTGACTACATTTTCCAGAAACCCACAGGTTGCATGGTGTAAGGGAAAATGGGAGTGACATATCCCTGCCCTCTTTAATACTTCTGGTCCTTGTGCCCAATCAATTGGCAGCAAGGCTCAACAGGTGAATAGGGTTTGGCTGCTTTGAAACTGAGGCTGAAATTTGACATTTTTAATGACGATGGGCAGCAAGGGAAGGATAAGGAAGTGACTCAGATGCCTGCTGGTGAAATAGGGTTGGGAGGTACCACGGTGGATAGGAGATCTCTCCTTCCCTAGATGGGTATGGATGAAGTTTTCCTTGTGGTCTGCTGCTCCCTTTGTTCCCCTGCCCTTCAACAAAGTGGTAGGCATTTCCATGGATCAACAGATGGGGAATGGTTTCTGATACTCCCTGCCAACTTCCCACAAACAATGTTATTAGGGAAGCTGGCACAAAGTTGAAGTGGTTCCCTCTCTCACTCCTTTTTGCTTGCCTGTGGTCATTCTGTTTCTCTGTTTATGTAAGGAAATATGTCTGAAAGGATGACTGAATGGCTCACAGGTT